CAAAAAAAAAAAAAATACTGAGGCTGCTGTCTGTTTGGAAACATAGATGTTTCCAAGAAAACCCAAGTCTGTTCTTGCCTGGGATAACCCCCTTCTCCCTCATTAAGTACTTTAGGAAAGTGAAGAGGGTATTTAATGGTTTAAAATGTTTTGAAAGTGTTGGTTCTGCAAAACAGAAACAGACCTGAGACTTCTTTGCCTCCCACTCTCCCATGACCCCCTCCCATTCCATGTCTTGAAGTACTGGGAGGTGGTCTGCCAGGTCTTCCCTGATAAGCTTCCTGGTGGTTGCTGTGCTCTAGACACTCACTTAGATGCAGGCATACCATGGCAAGTCTTGAGGTGCTGTGCTCCTTCACGTAGGCATTGTTGAAGACCTGTCCCTTGGCTTCTCAGATCCTGTGCAGGGCACAGATGGAGGTGACGAAGTATAGCAGATAGTGCTTGCTGGCATCAAGGCATATCTCTAGCAGCCTCCAGTGCACCTTCAGGTGCTCAAAGACACGCTTCACAGTCACATGGCAACTGATAAGGAGGTCACTGAATTGTTCCTTCTGTGCATAGCTCCCTGAGCCAGGGGAGGTGTGTGTGGGCTGGGTCCCAAATTATTAGAGTTCTGTAGGTGAACTCTCCCCACTTTACAAGATCCAGTATGCCAGAGTTGTGAAAGACCCCAGAGTTGTGAACCGTCTCCAACCAGATGACACTGACACTCCTGGTGGTCCATGAGGCCCTGAAGCATGATAGAAAAGAAGGCCTTGTGACGTACTCTGAGCTGTGGTGGGCAGAGAACATGATGGGGATGAGTTCTGCTGATGACACCGATGTAGTTCAACAAGTTCAATCCAGTTAAATCTGGCCATAACCTCCACCAGGTTGGTGAAGCAGATGAAGTATGGTGCCAGCACTGGCTGCACAGCCAGGTACCTGTTCCATAGAGCCACTCTAACTGCTGAAATGCTCACATGGAACTGGCTGGCAATGGACCAGAGGTTGCCTGGAGTTGTGAACTTCTGGGTGGCACTGGAAATGTGCTTCCCAATGGTGAGGGGTGGCTTTATCCTGATGCCCTCCCATTTGACAGGGGCCAGCTCGGCATGGATCTCCATGAAGGTGGCCTGGCACATCTGAAAGTTCTGCTGTTACTGCCTGTTATCCAAGAACCCCAGGATAATGTGCTCCAACCAGCTGGTGCTCATGTCCCGTACCCAGAGTCTGGTCCCAGAGGAGGCTGGCTTCTATGCTGTCCCTCATGACAGTGTCTTCATTAGCCACATAGGTATTGGAAGATGACATGAGCAGGGAGAAAAACTCAAGGATAGGCCTTTCAAAGCCTGGATCATCTCACCAAGCACATACATAGTGCTGCTTAGTATCCCACAAAGGTGCTAAAGGAGTAGACCATGCATATAGTGGTAGCCCTAGATTCTCCTCCTGCACGAGAAGAGCAGGCACAACAGCTCCCTTCTCTGATGGACTAGGGGCACAGGCATGCAGGTAGCAAGGTTCCATTCCAGGCTCAGCTTGTAGAAGACAAACTTTTGGAATGGAGACTTACCAGGCATGCTGTGGCTCTGCACTCCTGGCAGGGGGCAGTCTCCAGACTAGCAGGCAATCAGTGCTTTCCCTTTGCACTGACCTTGGGAACCTCCCAAGACTGGGACCACTGCAAGACACGATGAGACTTCTGCTCACTGACCTCTGGCTGCAGAATGCCAGCAGTGCCCAGTGCACGCTCCTGCTCTGCTTTTTTTCACTCCAAACTAGTGGGCACTTGTACCTATGGACAAGCATTGCACACTACATTTCTACAGTGCTACAAAATTCCCCTGAATTTGTAGCATTACAAATGAAAAATGTGCTTAGTAACTTCATTTTTTGTAACCACAAGAGGGCACTGTTTCAATGTTGAAGACTACGACATAGATGGACCAGTAAATGCTCCTAAGAAAGAGGTTTCGTGGGCATTATGCATTTTAAATTACAAGGTGATTCCTGACGTGCATTCTACTCTGAGAAGTGACTAGAAATCACCACCAGTCTAGAATCTGCTACCCAAATTCTGGCACCAGTTACATCCTCTACAAATTCATTTACTTTAAGAAAGCTACAGAAGGGTAACTGAGGGCTAAACCTGGCCCTGCAGTGGCTGTTGATGTACATGCCAGAAAAGAAGTTCAGCCTCAAACAACAGCTCTAGATCTTCAGTTCTACAGATGTAATAATATGGTATTACTCACTGGGATAATTAGGTACAACTCTAAACAAAAAGAATCTTGGTGATTCCGTGGCCATTTTAAGTCACTTTTCAAACTAGGAGTGCACATTGAGCAACAGTAGTCTAATAGGAACAAAATAAAACAGTTTAATAGAAATATTGCAAAAAGCACCTAATTGGTCATAGAAGAAATAAAGAAGGACGAGCATTGAGCAGCACATCACCACAAATACACAGATCATGATCGGAGTGACATCAACAGTTTCATCTTCATGTTTCTCTGCCCCATCATCACGTTTGTGCTTCATATATCGCCTGAAAGAGAGCAGCATGTCTATAATTAGATGCTTCCTCCTGCAGCAGAGCAAGGGTTCTAATCTGAGTCAACACACCTGTGCTTACACAGAGCCCTATTAAATGCAAAAGGAACTACACTAAGGGAGCTGCCTCTGCAGAACCCAACACAAGACTAAAATCTAGAATTTATGCTAGAAGGAAATGTGTCAGGTATAATCTGTCTTAATTGTGCCAAGATTATTATCCCGGACCTACTAGTCACACTGAATAGACAGCAAATTATTACAGAGCAAGTCATAACCCATTTAGAATGCTCATAAGTGAGAACACTTAAAAATCTAAGCTACACAGATTATTTCTCTCCATCAGAAAAGAGAACGTACACATTTTCAACAATGGCTTGATGACAAACACTGTATTTAAAATAAGAAAAGATAATACACATCATATTGTGTAATACAATTCATCCCCATTTTCAGGTAGACAAGTGAACTTCTCTCTACGCTAAGACTCATAAAAAGCCATCTTGTTTTTTTTAAGTTGATGCACTAGAGTAGCACAAGCAGTTAATACTGTAATAATTCCCAAATTGTCAGCGTTAGGCCTCTGACATACTTCAATTCCAGATCTGTAGACAGCCACTGTAGTAACAGCAGAAGTACATTCCATTTCTCTGGTTTTCATTCACTAACTGCTATTTGAAAGATAAGAAATCTTAAGAACTTTGGCACAGGACTCAATTTGTACTACTTACTTTTTCACATCCCTGCTTCCTGCCCAATAGCCTCCAATTGCAACAGTGCCCACTGCCATTACAAAAATAATCACCATGTTGTAATCAAGCACAGGTTCATTTGGTGCATACATTGCCACCTTCACTGATCTGCTAAAACTCTGCAACAGAGACATGTATGAATTAGAGAAAGCTTACTGTTTCAGCTTAATCAGAATTAACTATTTCCTTAACCCCCCACATCTAATTTATAGCATCACCTTTCTGTATGAAAGTGCTTTTGTCACTTCTACACTTTGGGCTAGATCCAAAAAAAAAAAAAAAAAAAAAAAGGAAAAAA